ATGCGTAATACCAGTAATATTAATTCCCCGTCCTCTTATCCAGCATGAGGTAAATGACTAACATAAAAGTTTCACGCAAATTTGTTTAACCGCAACCTTAATGGGCATGAATGGGCATTTTCATTTTCCTTATAAAATCACCCCAAAACCAAAGATTTGTTTTTCTTTCTAGATTTACCTCCTCAAAATGGTTCACGCAGGTCGTGTATAACTGGGAAGTTCTGGGTTCAATTAACCGCAAAACTTAGCCATGTCAAATTCAGGCTTAGCATTATGTTGCGGTTCTAAATCTCACCCCAGCCAGGTACCTACTTGGTTTATTAATTGTTTATGAATTACACAAAATTATCACATTTCAACCTTATAAAAAAACTGATAGATAATTCTATTTGCATGTATGTCCGATATGTGGGCTCTTAATTTTTCTTAATATAGTGCTTAATTACTTTTGAAGTTAGCAAAAAGTACCTCAACTCGGTTCTCACGTATTGAATTTCTACAATGCTTATTCATATTTATTAGAATTCGTCGTACGTGACTTGTTTCTTGTGAAGGAAAACAGACAATTCGATAAACAATATCTTTAAAAGAACATGATGCAATCACGCGAATTTGGCTAAATAAAAGTCCAATATAAATCTTATTTGGCGTAGTATCTAACTGCTGTGTTATCTGTTAGAATGATAATAATTTAATCTATCAAAAGATCCATATATTATTGCTTATCTTAATATATATATTTCTTCTGTGCGTGTGTATGTGACTGAACTCCTCCTAAACGACTGGACCAATTTTGATGAAATTTTTTGTGTGTGTTCAAGGGGATCTGGGAATGGTTTAGATTCACAAATCAGCCCGACAGATGGCGCTGCAGTCGGTACTTTCATACTTTGTTTAATATCTTAATCGGTTGAAATATAATGCAGGACAACGTCTGTGGGGTCCACTAGTTTTTTATATATAATTTGCATCTACATATTGTAAAGGCCACAATGTCTTAAATATTAATCAACCAATAGCGAACTCAAAACTTGACTTCCTGGCCCACAGTCCCTGTGGCGCAGAGGATAGCGCGTTGGACTTCTAATCCAAAGGTCGTGGGTTCGATCCCCACCAGGGATGTCTTTTTTATTTAAATTAAACTATTTAGTTAAAAGGATTGGCTAATATAATTTAAATCATTATATTTATTTATTATCTTATGTAAGTTGTCAGTAATCAACACTTCGTAGTTAAAACCAAATGTATTTCTGTAATCTGTGACTACTTAAACTATCGGATAACAATATAATAATCTAATAAGCAAGTAGGTGATCAGCCAGATCCTGTGTCTGCACGCTGGTGACTTTTTGGGTCCAAAGCAAGTCGGTTTCCTCACGATGTTTTCCTTCACCGTTCTATTCGAAAGTCCATTGGTGCACAGCCGGGGATCGAACCTACGACCTCAGCGATGAGAGCCGCACGCGAAGCCTCTAAGCAAACAAAAATTATTTGGACTTTATTATATCCTCTCATCTTCATGTCGCACAACGTTGTATCACCTTTCTTGTTAGTGAAATGGTACTGCTGCTGGTTCCAGGAGTGGCTGGACCTATAGCGCCTAAAAAAACGAACGGCATTATCAAGCTGCCTTCTAACACGTCTGAACTGTCTTCTCTAAGGTAGAATCACCTAGGTACTATCAAGATGGCCGCCATGCAGAGGCCATTTTGTTACACTACATTCTATTTTTTAAATTATTATCTGCACTGAAAGAAAACAGTTGTCATAAAGAAATTATCTGTATTTAGCCTAATATTCTCTATGACAGATGACAATTGGCACTTTCCCCGCTTTGATTAAAGTTGTAAACTATGCCAAGGGTACAATCGGATTTGATGATAAGATACATTCGTCAGCGAACCTTGAAACAAAATAAATACTTATTATTTGAATTGACAGGGTATTGCCGACGCAAGATAACACCGATAAGCTGTCGTTGGTACATAGTTTTTTGCTTATATATTGATATAACAACTGTGACTTGCTACCGATGTTTAGTAATCGTACCATCCCTATATAATAATAATTGGTGATGTAACTTAAAACAGATTAACCAGACCATTGATGCACTTAATAGAGGTTAATTTGTAATCTTATAATAACGTAAAGAAGAGCAGTGTTAGCGACTCTTCTCGCAGGTGTACACCGATGAAATTCTTTCCATATCGCAATCATTTGCTTCTATAATGAATGCAAAATGAAAATCGTGAGGAAACCGGCATGTCCCAAAAACAAATATCGGTGACATGTGTGAGACAGATGGCTGATCTATCTACTATCTACGTGTCTATTAAATGAAAATTAACGGTTGTAATCTAGGCCAAGACACATTATTGGTTGTAGTGCTACTGGATAATTATAATGATTGAATGAATTAAACTTAATATGACGTTGATATTACCTATTTATTAATATTAATATAAGAAGACAAGGTTATTTAAAACATTCTGAGTGATATACAATTGTATGTTATCGAAGTTCAACAATCAGCAATCGTATTTTCTGTTCTCTCTTTCTGAAGTCAATTAAAAATTATCAGACATTAGGTCGGATTAATAACTAGAGTAATGAATTGTAAACTTATCTTTTTCCAACAAATGCATTAAACTTGTATCAATATTTCGTATAATTAAGTTACATGAGTGTTTTGTTTAGTAATGATTCATACTTCTCCGGAAATGAATCATTGTTTTACAAATCCAATGGTGGACTTTGAAACTAAAAATAAATAATCATAAAATTAAATTTATGTATTTGTAGAAATAGACCATAAACCACTAGCGGTGTCTCCAGTCTCCTATAGTGGTACCGGTTTCGATTCCCGACGAAATTGCTTGTTTTTCAGAGATTGTTATTTTGTGTGTTTTTGTTAGTAATAAAATGTTATGTCTCTGCCTTAACTAAAATAATTTAAATAGCTATCGAAATAGAATAGGAACATTATATTATTTTTTTTTAAATCTTAATAGCGCTTCGTAGGCGCTGAAACTAAATGGAAGTAGGAACACACGTTGTTTTAATATTCGTATAATATATTATATCGTGATGTATAGTCGTGTATACAATAGTGGTGGACAAAAGAATATTTGCCGAAACTATCGTAAAGTTATATTATGTAATATAAATTATAAGATAAGTAACTAACGAAACAGCCAGATAAAGATTTCGTTCTTGCTTTGGACAAACCGACACTGGCTTTGTAGTATCTTATCAGCGGTTATTTTGTAAAATCTCTTGGGCACAAAAACAAATTTTTACAGCAGCTTGGTCTCTCTTAAGCTTGTCTACTAGCTTCCTTTAACTAATTGTTAAATTGAAAAGTTACTCATAACGAATAAGAAAATTTTAATTGCTGTCGTCTAGCTTTTAAATTTAAATAAAAGCAATTTCATTTAGTCATAAAAAAAGCAATTCAACCACAATGTCCTACTTTCTCTGAAAAATAATATACCTTTATTTTAGAAAAATATTAATCGTAAGAATTTATAATTAGTAAAATTAATCTCAACAATTTCCTTAAGCAATAGAAATCAAATTAATTAAAGTCAGAACAGGATAATTTTATTCACATTATATATATTATTATATTATGATATACATACGAATATTTACTTATAATTTATTAAAAGAAATACGTCAACTCCGTGCCTTATTTTTAAATTATTTGTCCAAAAAACAAACAATTTTTTTCTTTACTCATAAAATGTTTTTTTTAGTTGAAGATTTGTTTTTATATTTGTTGATTTTTACTTAGAACCCTTGTCTAGTAACAAGATACAATTAGGTTTGGTTCCTTGTTGACGATTAATTAATATCGTAATGAATGGGTCATGACGACACGAGGTCAAGTACGTACAATGGTACAATTAAATTTTTATTGGTACATGAATGAGGATTACCGAATATTACCGAACACGATTGCGGCCTATAGATGTGATAAAAATATCGACATGCTCGAAATATGAACTTCACTTTCTCATCTCTCGCTCTCTCTCTCTTGTAAAAACGGTCTATAAAATGGAAAAAACTATTCCTTACCAACGTTTTTTCACTTCGCATATATAATATTGTAGTAATTGATATGCTTTGTTGTCTATTGCATTGTTAACAGAAAGTTATTAAACAAAATTAGTTTAATTTGAACAAACTTAACACGAGCCAATGCTTAAGTTAAAATTTTAAATCAACCCTTACCTGATATAAGGACTGAAATGGGTTTGGTCGACACGGGTATTATTATTGTTTGACAAACACAATGAACCCGTCCCGTTCCAGATAACTATCCTGTAATTTCATTTAGACGACCGTCGGTTTTCTATTAAATAATGTTCTTTATTGCATTTACCTTCAACTATCTAAATCTAACAATTTGTATGTGAAACGTACTGTATACACTCACAAAGAATCATCAAATTTTAATTATAACTGAAAATATTCCAGACCGATGAACTATTGTATCGACTGGTTTGATCAGTTATGGATTTGATGAAAGCCGCGACAAGTTTGTCTACAAATCTACGTCACGGTTTCATTTGTGTTTTTTGATTCAGCTATTCATATTCAAAGGAACATGATTATGAAGTGCGATATCGAAAACTATCAAACTACAACCGCCTTGTTAAATGATACAATCAATTGATAAGTGCGTATTTAATTGTGTCGGGTGTGTGTAACGCCGCAAGTAATTTTAAGGCTTGTTTTGAGATGCGTAGCTGGCGGCAGCAGCTACCAGATGACGCCACGAATATATGAAATAGGGTCAGTGCTGTGTCGTTGATCCGAGAGACTGCGACTGCAAGGCGGGGGCCGCCCCCCGCTCCCCTCCGAGTCCCCCATCAATCCTCGCCCCGCTAGCCACTACCGCCAGCATTCCTCATTCGACGCGAGGGCGAAGCGCACGCCCGTCTTTTCAACTACCGCGACTGACGCGCCGCGCGCCAGCGGTATAACCACCCGCCATGTTTGACGTTTTTGGCTCTGTTAAGAGCCTTCTCAAGCTCGACTCTGTGTGCATCGACAACAATGTGTTTCGACTTCACTACAAAGCCACCGTGATCATCCTAGTCACGTTCTCTTTGCTTGTAACATCAAGACAATACATTGGAGATCCTATTGACTGCATTGTGGATGAAATACCGCTCGCTGTTATGGACACTTATTGCTGGATTTACTCGACCTTCACTATTCCCAACAGGCTCGTGGGACGTGTTGGAAAGGACGTAGTGCAACCGGGTGTTGCATCCCACGTGGATGGCCAGGATGAGGTGAAATATCATAAGTATTACCAGTGGGTATGCTTTGTGCTGTTCTTTCAAGCAATTCTGTTCTACGTGCCTCGCTATCTATGGAAAACTTGGGAAGGAGGACGCATCAAGATGTTAGTACTTGATTTAAACTGCCCAGTTGTTGGAGAAGAATGTAAAAAAGACCGCAAGAAACTATTGGTAGACTACTTTCATACAAATCTACATACGCAAAACTTCTACGCGTTCCGTTTCTTTATCTGTGAGGTTTTAAACTTTATCAATGTTGTTGGGCAAATATACTTTATGGACTTTTTCTTGGATGGTGAATTTTCGACTTATGGCCGTGACGTAGTTTCCTTTACTGAAATGGAACCTGAAGAAAGAGAAGATCCAATGGCTCGAGTATTTCCAAAAGTAACAAAATGTACATTCCACAAATATGGTCCCTCGGGAACCGTTCAAAAATTTGATGGTCTGTGTGTCTTGCCTTTGAATATTGTCAATGAAAAGATATATGTGTTCCTCTGGTTCTGGTTTATTATCTTATCTGTTTTAAGTGGAATATCTTTGCTATACCGTGCAGCTGTCGTGGCAGGGCCCCGTGTCCGCCTTTACCTGTTACGTGCCCGTAGCCGTCTCGCACCTCAAGATCAAGTTGAAACGGTTGCACGCAAGTTACAAATCGGTGATTGGTTTGTACTTTACCAACTCGGAAAGAACATCGACCCGCTAATATATAAAGAGCTAATGTGCGATCTAGCATTGAAATTCGATGGAAAGGACAAGGACACTGTTTAGACAGGAAAGACAATGGGTGGTAGTGACGTGTTAGTGTGCTAGGCCAGGTCGCGGGCGCAGTGCGGCAACTATGCTACCTGCTTGCATCGCGCCCGCACTAGCCGGGAGCGGCCGCGCGTCGGCATTCCAATACTGAGGCTCGACACGGGGAACGACCTCTGCCGAGCCATATTACATTATATTCCAGAGCCGCTTTAACTCTTTATGCTACTGAAACTATGTTAGATTATACTCCCGGCCGACTAGACTGATGCGTGCGTGCACGCGTGCATTTAGAGTAACGTTTTAGGGCATGTTTATAATAGTCGTAGCATAGGTAGATCTCGTGCCTTCGTTTTATATTTTTATTATACGTGTGTTACTTGCGAAAACGTTGAAGGGACGTTTATTGTGATATGTAATTATTATATCTAAATTAAGTGTTTATCGTGACAATGGATGAGTGAAAACGGCTGGCTTATGTCTAAGTTGTAGGTACCTAATTAGTTATCTAATTAAATATCTTTGTTATCGAATGTTATTCTCGATATTGTATAAAGCAATAATGAACTTTAGTGAAATCCATTTGCTAATATTGGTTAGCGACAATATTGTACTTTTTGGTAATTGACACTTGTCTATACTTATACTTTTTATACTGATGAAATCGAGTCGACGATTGATATTTTCTGAATATATTTACTGCCACATTATATGATGTTGTTTTATTACATAACCATGACAATAATTGCACTTTTGAACTTGATACTTTATGCAGCGACAATATCCATTTGACATGCAATCTGAAGTCACAATACACAAAGTGAACAATTGGTTCACTTCCTTTTCTTTGTTCAAGATTCACACAACTCAACAAGTTATGATTTCTTGATAGTGCTGCCATCTGGTTTTAACTTAGTAAAAAGGGACATCGATGTCGCTATCAAACAACTGTTTTAATTAATTCGATCATTTCTAATAATTAAATACCCTATTTTATGTTAATTTTTGAATAAAAAATCACCACTTCTATTTTCAACTTAAAAATATCTTGTATTCATCGATACCCGTTGTCGATATTAGATTTATCGATATTCCCAACATTTTCAAAATTTGGCACCACATAATTTAAACTGTTTGTTAATTTTAGTTAATGGTATGTCCTACGAACAATTAAAATTCCATGTAAAACTTTAAAATGACAATGCTTAACTGATACCTGACCAGTTTTTAAAACTACTTTCACACGGTCGCTTTTGTTTGAAGAGTCTCGGGCAAATAATGGTATTCTTAGAATCACTATTGCTTAGCTTTTTGTTGTTCTATTCCGTTGTAACACTGAGGCTGTTAAAGATAATCCCTGACTGTTTACGATGTCTTTCAAAAACATTCTGTAGGTTTAAATAATTAAAACCTCTTACCAACATCGGCTCCCTTTTTGCACCATATAGTAAATAAATTAATCTATTATGTATCGATTCGTAGTACCTAAGTCAGAAATTATTATCCTTTTAAGTTTCTAAGTAGGAACAAAGTTAAGAATTCTGAAGAAAACAACATAAAATACCCAAAGTTTTTTTAAATATTCATTTGTTTTTATGAAGGTACTTTCTACCTCCTTTCCACATTTGGGTGTGAATAACATACCTAGCATGTTATGCACATAGGTAATAATATGTACTAAGCAAGTAAAAAGTATCTACTATGTAAAGAACATTGTACCTGTGTTTTTTATTTTCGAATCACATCTTTATCATATAAGAGGAAATTATTATAACAAGATAGTGGAGTAGCGGTTATAGTTAATTATATAACACGAGCAGGTGGTACCTGTTACTATAATAATTAAATGTAAATTGTGGCCATAAGAAAATTACTACTATTTGATAATAATTTAGTAATTAAAACACAATCTTTATCGAAATTATGTTAAAACCAAATACCGTAATAATGTTATTATCTTTGAAGACAATAGGTACTCGGTAACATTCTCATTAAAAATGCATCTGCTCTAGGTTTTCAAACTAATAATATTACATAGAATGTACTTCAAAAGGAAAGGAAAGGCCAGGAAAGAAAAACCTATAATTGACTTATTTGGTTCCAAAACGGAGCCGAACTCGGCGTTTGGTTCAGGTTAACCCAACCTATTGTCAACAGCAGACTGCCGCAGCACCAACTCGACTGTATCAACAATACTAGGGACACTGCAAGTAATAAAACGATTTAATAGTGTTGAGATACAGCTGACGGCAATTATTTGTCAGCATGTGTTATTAATCAGTAATCATTAATCACTGAAGTAGGTAGTAAATGCTACATAAAATCTATTTTTATTACATTTACACTAATTTTATTAGAATCTGCCCGAAAAGAGTACCGGCGTGGCAGTTATGCTAATTAATATATTATATAATTTTTATTTGATACGTGTCATTTAATTTATTTAGAAAAATTATATATGTACATAGGTACTTTTATTTTTTAATATGAAGTATCAAGATGATAACTATCGAATTATATTGGCTTAACAGCAACGTTATTGTATAAAAAAGGTAATTTACCATTTTTATACATAATTTTCGTATTTAACAAGATTCATTACTATTTAAGGCACGTCACAATATCGTTAAACTAGTTTTTTTCTGTACAATTAACGATATAACACTATAGATTGGCCTAAAGGTCTAGATACCAGGCCATAAACTCCAAAAAAAAACACACTATAGATTATAGACAACAGTTTAAAAATTATTGTGGCAGTTGAAACGTAAACGTCAAAAGTCATATGTCAAGTGCGGTACGTCAGATCGTTAATGTGAAGTGTCTTTTATAATTCAAATTTCAAATGTCTAAAACATAAACATTCAACAGCAATACCTTCACATGTGATTATAATATTTTTTTGAGTTATAATAAGTTCTTTTTATTATTTTAAGAGATATCTTGAACACCTTTGTTTTTTTATAGTTTGTGTTTTAAGTAAATTAAGTACCAATCATGGCTCGCGGTAAAGACAAGAAAAAGTAAGTCTTACTTAGGTTATAATGTTAGTGTTATTTATTTATAAATTATATTCACGGTATCTTTATTTTAGACGTAAATTAGAGAAAAAGCAAGAAGGAGATGAAGTGCCTAAGAAAGTACCGCATACGCTAGAGTCATTACGAGAAAAAGATGAGACTACAATTGCCAATGCTGAAGCCGATGAACAGGAAGAGGTATGAAACTGTATTTCAACTAAGGTTAATCCACGCTAATATTGTTTTGGTTATTTGCATATTGAGAGACATCTGCTTTTTTATAATATAATAGTTCTTAATAATTGTTGTAAACATGATATCAAATACTACAGATTATGAGTTTAAATAAAATAATTACTTATTCGTATAAATAAAAAAATTAAATAAACCCTTTGAACTCCTCTTTTAATCTAACATAAGTTATCTGTACACCACAATTTTACAATAAACTAGTATCTTACTACAGTACTAAACTGAATCATTACAGGCACAAAAAGATATGGAGTTGGATGAACTATCATCCTATTTTGAAAATGCATATGAACCAAAAGTGTTGATTACATATTCTGATAACCCACACACAAAAACTAGAATCTTTGGCAAAGAGCTCATGAGGATAATACCCAACTCCATAGCCAGATATAGGCAAAGGTCAGTATCAAATTGTTCAAATGGTGTTTTTTAAATATATAAAAAAACACTAGATATATTAACAATATGTAAATGGGACGTTGTTATTATGATTGCAAAATAAAATTACGTTTTAAATATAGTATTTTGATTACTGACTCAATAGCACTATGTAATAAAGAATTGTAATCAGCAACAAAGTCTATGTTTTGTAATGCCAAATTCAGTTAGAAATTACTACACATACATAACCTAATATTGTTTGTGTATCTATCCCTTAACAAAATCATAATTTATCAATTGTCTTGGGTTTTAAATAATAAGTAAAGGTAATAATTTTAAACTTATATAGATAAGATTGGTATAAATTATTTTTTACATTTCAGATCATCAGTAAAGCGCATAGTCCAGTCATCAATAAGGGAACAAGTAACTGATGTAATTATAATAAATGAAAATCAGAAACAACCTAATGGTTTCCTTCTCATCCACCTGCCCAATGGACCAACGGCGCATTTTAGACTGTCAAGTTGTAAGATAACTCCAGAGTTACACAAGGATTATAAAGAAATAACAAATCATAGACCAGAAGTAAGTGTAGTCATTACAATATGTTCATAACCAATAATATAAAGTTATTTAGACTGTTGAACTTTACTACAGTATAGAAAACCTACTATATATCTGGCAAGATAATAATAGTAAAAAAACTCATGATTGGCAACTTCTGGCTCTAAGCAAATTCAAAGGTGTATCAAAAAAAGCAATCCAAAAAGCTTTATAAGTGAAATCTGGTAACTATGGGGGACAGAGGACATATATTTTTGAGTCATGTTTTAATCTACTGCTAAAATTAACTTCTTTTAAATTTTTTGTTCATTTCCATACGTAGGCTCCTCCATCTTCCTCCAGCACTGGCCCTTCTGCATCAACTGGGAGCCAGCTTCCGATATTGTCAGTCCACCTAGTCCATTCTTTTGAGTGCTATAGAGAGGGGTCCCCGCAAAAAGTTTAGAGGAGATAGAATTCCCTGTCTTGCTCCTGTTTCCAGTGGAAACTTGTTCGTTTTATCATGATGTGGCGTGATCTTGCAAGTGATTCAGAACCTTAATGCAAAAGTTGTTCAATTCTGCATTCTGCAAGACTTCTCTACAGCCCATGCCCAAGTGTATCAACCGATTTTTCAGTCTACGAATGTGATGACGTAAGGATTTTGGGACTTGTTACATTTCTGGATAAGGGTTTTAATTGTGTGCAGGTGATCGCAAGTGCTTTAACTCTTTTGGAGTCCAGCTTGCTGTCTTAGTTAATACGCGTCTTGTTTACTGATGAGTCTGTTGACTCGAGTTCGACTAAAGAGCATGTAAA